CCCAAGACTCAGATGTATTCCCTGATTGCCAGTCCTCATTACCAGAGAACCCCACAAATGTATCACTAGACATTGGCTCCGTACAGACAGCTTGTACCTCTTTTACCTTAGTCCAGTCCAATGTGTCATCCCCGTTTTCATCACTCCTTGACCCATCACCCCCAGAGAAACCCATGAATAATTCCTCATCTGTAGGAGCAGTAAGTATATCCCAGATCCTCTTCCTCTGTTGCTCCTCATCAGACTCCTGTTCTCGAGTAGCCCTTTTCCTTCCCTTAGACCAATCCATGATGTCTCCTTCCTCTTCTTCACTTGTGGACCCATCATCCCCAGAGAAACCCAAATGAGTCCTCGTCTGTAGGAGCTGTAAGTATATCCGATCCTCTTCCTTTGCTATTCCTCATCAAACTCTTGCTCTCGAGTAACCCTTTTCCCCCTTCTAACACCCAAATGCTTACAACTGCTTACAACATTACTCGCAGGCTCTACTACAACACATACATTCCTGTCAATGCAAGCTGGACTTCCCGACAATGCACAACACACTCAACTGCTGACACTGGTAGGTTATAACTTGCATTTTGTGTGTTCATTTGCAAAATAATTGCTATGATTCTAACTCTATGTGACACAACAGATATTTGAATGATTTTTTATTTTTTTATTAGATTTTTATTAGTTATGTATGCTTCTACCACTATTTTTATCCAATCTCCGCCCCTCGCCCAATTGCAACTGAATTGCATGGCTTAAATTGCGACCCAATTGCTAGGCTTTTTCAATGTCCCCTAATGGAAACCAAAGCTACTACATTAGAAGAATGAAAAACAAATTGTATGCACCTAGCCAAATAAGAGCAAAGTACATTGTTTTTGTGACATCATAAAACATGGGTCAGTTCCGCCATAAGGACCTGTTAAGATTTTGGAACTTTCTCTGATCACTGAAGAATAAAAATCTCAGATCTGGCACCCAACTCTGTGTGTCTTCAGTTTGAAACATTGGAGCTTTGGCATGCCGGGACTGGGTCTTTCTGTTCTTGGGACAACAAAACACCAATTCCCATAATTTCATAGCATCGAGCCATAGCTGTTAAATTGGTGTCAAATGGCATGAATTCTACAATGTAGAAGCAATCAAAGGCTGCAGTTCCACATCACCTGGAAGTAGGCTTGGTTGATCCAAAAAAAAAAGTTCGAAACTTGTTTCAGATGTTGGGGGTACTGGTGGTTTGATACTAAAGTCACTTCCGAATTTTTCCAAAAAAAAGTCGGAACTTTCCGAAACTTCCGAACCAATTAGTTAACGATGGACACGATTGCGCAATATGCGGAAATAGCACTGACACCGGGGAAACTCCAGGGCCTTCTCCCTCCCTCATGTTTACACCAATCTTGATGAAACTTGATATACTGCTACAACACATCATTCTCCGTTAGCATACCAAATTTCAACATGTTCAGACAATCCACTAATTTTTAAGAATTTTTAAAACAATTTTAGAAATAATTTATTACAATAAAAATAAAAGAGCTTTGTTGTTCGTTCGTTCAGTCGTTTCCGACTCTTCGTGACCTCATGGACCAGCCCATGCCAGAGCTCCCTGTTGGCCGTCACCACCCCCAGCTCAATCCAGTCACTTCAAGGGCTACCTCCTTGAATTTTTAAGGCAATGACAACAGGTTGTAGGGGATCACTCCCCCCAACTTTCAGACACATTCATACATCTACCAATGTTACATTTTTAAAGACTTCACAGAACCTATTTTATTTAAAAAAATTGATCGTCATGTCTCCAAAACACACCCCAGGAATTAGAGAGAGAAAGGAAACGCACAAAGAGAAGGCTTTAGTGACATCCCTGCATGTAGGAAGTCGCCGTTTGTGCAGCCGAGGCCCTGCAAGGTTGGGAAATGTAGTGTCAAGTTCCCAAAACACACCCCACAAAAAATAGAGATAAGAAAATAGCAAAGCTTTTTTGTTCATTTCGTTCAGTCGCCTCCGACTCTTCGTGACCTCATGGACCAGCCCACACCAGAGCTCCCTGTCGGCCGTCACCACCCCCAGCTCCTTCAAGGTCAGTCCAGTCACTTCAAGGATGCCATCCATCCATCTTGCCCTTGGTCGGCCCCTCTTCCTTTTACCTTCCACTTTCCCCAGCATAATTATCTTCTCTAGGCTTTGCTGTCTCCACTTTAGTGGTGAGCAAAAAATAATTTTCCAAAAATGACTTTATTAATTTCACTCTCTCCCCACCTCCAAAACAAACTTTTCCTTCTTTCTCTCTCTTCTCTGGCTTCAAACCCTTCCCTTCTCCCTTGCCTTCCTCCGTTCTCCAAACCTACTTTCCTCTGGTTCCAACCCTTTTTTCTACCCCTCACTCAACAGCAAAAAGCAGCAGCAACAACAACGGTCCAACCTCCCCTCTCCCTTCCCTGGCTGCCAATGAGCCTTCCATCATTGCCTGAAATCAATCGCACAAGGAGAGTTGAAACTATAGAGGACTACAGCCTCACGGAAATTTGGCAAAAGTCCCATTGGAAGGAAAAAACATCCGATTTTTTTCCGAATTACGCCACATCCGAGCAAACCTATTCAACCCTACCTGGAAGGCCACACAATGCCTGGATCTGTCCAAGAGGAATGGGAAAAAAATCAAAATGTTCAGTACTTATGGTGATAAGCCAGATTTCTGACCTCATTTTGGTACAGTATGATCCTTATGTCCATGGGGGATGTGACGCCAAGTGCACTGTGGCTATCTAAAACTATGGATCAACTGAATGCTTTTTAGTTACCTGACTTCTGGTCCCAACTATAGAGTTTTTTTGCTGTAAGTTTTTTTGGGCTCCATGGCCATGTTCACCTGCATCTGTGGATGGCATCTTCAGAAGTTTTGTTGACAGTGAAATGTCAGGAGAAAATGCTGCCAAAATACAGTCCAGAAACCACACAACACCACATTTATTCCGGCTGTGAAAGGCTTCAACAGGAATCCATCAAAACATTTGGAAGAATGTCCTGACAGTAAGAGCGGTTTGACAGTGGAATATGCTATCGGAGTGTGGTGGAATCTCCTTCTCTAGAGATGTTTAAACAGAGGCAAGATCAATGGTGTTTTGGACTTCTGCTCCCATAATTCCTGACCACGGACCAAGCTGGCCTGGGCTTCTTGGAGTTGGAATCCCAAACATCTGGAGGACCAAAGGTTGCACACCACTGGGCTAGATGACCATAGGTTTGGAGTGCTTTGGTTGGGTGTTGGTGCATGGCAGGTTAGCGTTGGACTGGTGGTCCTTGGGATCTCTTCCAAACTCTACAATTCTATGAAATATACACTACTGTTCTTAATCACATGCCTTCTCAAGGGTTTTCAGAAGAAGGATTTGCTTTAAAATCCAAATATACTAGTCTCGCTTATCCAACATAAACGGGCCAGCAGAACATTGGATAAGCAAAAATGTTGAAGAACAATTAAGGAAATGCCTATTAAATGTCAAATTATGTTATAATTTTACAAATTAAGAACCAAAACATCATGCTTCACAACAAATCAACAGAAAAAGCAGTTCAATACACGGTAATGTTATGTAGTAGCGCCCGTACCTTGGAAGCCTGACCTGGCCATGGTAGTCCACGCTCTGGCTACATCCCATATAGACTACTGCAACACGCTCTATGTGGGTTTGCCTTTGAAGACTGTTCGGAAGCTTCAATTGGTCCAATTATTTAAAAGTTTTTTATTTAAAAGTTTTGTATACCGACCTTCTCACCTCTCTTGAGGGACTCAGAGGGGAGCAGTGCTCAGGGAGCATACAATACCTCTGCTGCTCCAGCTCCACTGGCTGCCAGTCTGCTACTGGTCACAATTCAAAGTGCTGGCTTTAGCCTATAAAGCCCTAAACGGTTTGGGCCCAATTTACCTGTCCGAACACTTCACCCCTTAGGAACCATCTAGGACTTTAAGATTGTTGGGGAGGCCCTGCCTTCATCACAAGTATGTTTGGCGGGGACGAGAGACAGGTCCTTCTCCGTGGTAGCCCCTCAGCTATGGAACGCCCTCCCTAAGGAGATTAGATCAGCTCCCTCACTCCTAACGTTTCGGAGACAAGTTAAGACATGATTATATGAGCAAGCATTTACAAATACAGAGTAACTGACATAGGAAATGGAATCACTTGACATTGGAATTTGGACAACGTTTTAACTAGGATACACTGATGATAATTAATGTTGGTTTTATTGTTTCTATTGTTTTTATTGTGGTTTTATACTGTTTAAATCAGGGGTCCTCAAACTACGGCCCGGGGGTCAAATACGGCCCTCCAAGGTCATTTACCCGGCCCTTGCTCAGGGTCAACCTAAGTCTGAAACAACTTGAAAGCACACAACAACAACAACAACAACAACAACAATCCTATCTCATCAGCCAAAAGCAGGCCCACACTTCCCAATGAAATACTAATAAGTTTATATTTGTTAAAATTGTACTTCATTTTAATTATTGTATTGTTCTAAAGTGTTTTTTGCACTACAAATAAGATATGTGCAGTGTGCATAGGAATTCATTTTTTTTCCAAATTATAATTTGGCCCTCCAACAGTTTGAGGGACTGTGACCTGGCCCTCTGTTTAAAAAATTTGAGGACCCCTGGTTTAAATGCTTAATTTGTATTTTGCTATTATGTGTACTGACTTGTTGTAAACCGCCTTGAGTCGCCGATTGGCTGAGAAAGGCGGTATACAAGTATAGCAAACAAACAAACAAACAAATAAATAAATAGTAGGTAAAAGGTAAAGGTAAAGGTTTGCCCCTGACATTAAGTCCAGTCATGTCTGACTCTGGGGGTTGGTGCTCATCTCCATTTCTAAGCCCGAAGAGCCAGCGTTGTCCGTAGACACCTCCAAGGTCATGTGGCCAGCATGACTGCATGGAGCGCCGTTACCTTCCCCCGAGAGTACCTATTGATCTACTCACATTTGCATGTTTTCGAACTGCTAGGTTGGCAGAAGCTGGGGCTGACAGAGAAGCTCACGCCGCTCCCTGGATTCAAACCTGCAATCTTTTGGTCAACAAGATTAGCAGCTCAGTGGGCCACCAGGGGCTTCATAAATAAAGAGTAATTGCTGTATTTACGAATTTAGCACCAAAACATCACAATCTATTGAAACAGCTGTGGATCCGGGTGGGAGGCAAACTGCGTTGGATAATACAGAACGTTGGATGAGTGAAGGTTGGATAAGCGAGACTCTACTGTACATTAAACAATCCACATTCCAGTCATTGAGAACTGTTACAAGCTCCATCCTCCTTGTGAATTCTTTGATGTGAATTAAGATGGAAACTTCTTCCTCACTCAGAACTCTCGTATACTGTCTCACGGGTGTGAATTTGTTGGTGTGCGTTGAGGTGTGTGCTCTGGTTGAAGCTTTTCCCACACTCAGAGCATTTATATGGCTTCTCTTCGGTGTGGGTCCGCTGGTGTCTTTTCAGATGGGGGCTCTGATTGAAGCTCTTTCCACATTCTGAGCATTCATAGGGCTTCTCCCCTGTATGAATCCTTTCATGGACTTTAAGGATTCTGCTATCACTAAAGCCCTTTCCACACTCAGAACATTCATAAGGCTTCTCCTCGGTATGAGTTCGTTGATGCACGTTGAGGCTTTTCCGCACGCTGAAACTCTTTCCGCACACCGAGCATTTATACGGTTTCTCCTGCATGTGACTTCTTCGATGCATTTTCAGGCTTCTGCTCTCGCCGAAACTCTTGTCGCATTCTGAGCATTTATAGGGCTTCTCGCCTGTGTGAATTCTTTGGTGGGATTTCAGGATGATGCTTTGACTGAAACACTTCCCGCACTCCAAGCATTTGAAGGGTTTCTCCCCTCTATGAATTTTCAGGTGTGTTTTAAGGTTTCCATTACTGCTGAAGCTCTTCCCACACTCAGGGCATTTATTGGGATTGTCCTCCAGGTGGATTTTTTGATGTAGTTTGAGGATTATGTTTTGAGTGAAGCTCTTGCCGCAATCCGAGCAGCTATATGGTTTCTCCCCTGTGTGAACTCGTTGATGTCTTTTGAGGTGTGTGCTGTGGTTGAAACTCTTTCCGCATTCAGGACACGTGTAGGGCTTCTCTCCTGTGTGAATTCTTTGATGTTTGCTAAGATTTGAGCTCTGACTGAATGTCTTTCCGCACACAGGACATTTATAGGGCCTCTCTCCCGTATGGACTCTCTGATGCGCTTTGAGTTCTGGGCTGCGGCTGAAACCTTTCCCACATTCCGGGCATTTATAGGGTTTCTCCCCTGTGTGGACCCTCTGGTGTCTTTTAAGACTTCTGTCATCACTGAAATTCATTCCACAGTCTGAGCATCCAAAGGGCTTTCTGGCTGCATCAAATCCTGGATGCAAGGAGAGGTCTGAGCTATGAGTAAACTCGTTTCCGCACTCCACAAATGTACACGTTTTCTCCCCAAGGTGAATTCTTTGATGTTTAGTAAGGTATACATGCTGAGTGAAGGTCTTTCCACAATCAGAACATATAAACAATTTTTCACCATTGTGCATATTCTTGTTGTTTCCTTCACAATATTCTTCTGGAATTGGAGTTTCATGGAAGTCAAGGCTGTTCACAGGAATATCCTCCTCTTCTTCAGTTTTAATTTTTATCTGCTCAACCTCTTTATGATTTTCTGTCTCAACACCTGAAATAAGTTTTTACAAAATTGGTCAGTGAGAAATGGATCCTCAAATCAAAGAACAGACTCAATCAATTGCTTTGGCAGGTAAATAATAATAATAATAATAATAATAACAACAACAACAACAACAACAATTTATTTATAGATCGCCCTATCTCCCTGCAGGGACATAGGTTAGTTTTCAACAAATATGGCAAATATTCAATGCCAAAACAAAATGATGATGATGATGATAGTAATAATAATAATAATAATAATAATAATAATAATGTATTGTTGAAGGCTTTCATGGCTGGAATCACTAGGTTGTTGTAGGTTTTTTTGGGCTATATGGCCATGTTCCAGAGGCATTTTCGCCTGATATTTCACCTGCATCTATGGCAAGCATCCTCAGAGGTTGTGAGGTCTGTTGGAACTAGGAAAATTGGGTTTATATATCTGTGGAATGTCAAGGGTGGGACAAAGAACTCTTGTCTGTTGGAGGTAGGTGTGAATGTTTCAACTGGCCACCTTGATGGCCTGGCTGTTGTTTGGTGGCTTGTTAGTGCTTGGGGGAATCCTTTGTTGAGAGGTGATTAGATGACCTTGAATGTTTCCTGTCTGTTGTTTTGCTGTTGTGATTTTAGAGTTTTTTAATAATGGTAGCCAGATTTTGTTCATTTTCATGGTTTCCTCCTTTCTGTTGAAATTGTCCACATGCGTATGGATTTCAATGGCTTCTCTGTGTAGTCTGACATGGTGGTTGTTAGAGTGGTCCAGCATTTCTGTGTTCTCAAATAATATGCTGTGTCCAGGTGTTATAGAGCTAAAACATCGTCAAACTGCAGCCCTCCAGCTGTTTGGGCCTCTAACTCCCAGAAGCCCTAATGAGCTTGTTCAATTGTCAGGAATTCTGGGAGTTGAAGGCCCAAACAGCTGGAGGGCACTTTGAGGATGCCTGCTCTAGAACATGGCCATATAGCCCGAAAAACCTACAACTCAGCTCCAGAAAAGTTTACTCTTGAATACTTTGAAAGGTGTAGATACAACCTTAGAATGACCTTTGGTCTGATCCAGAATGGACAGAGAATCATAGAATCATAGAGTTGGAAAAGACTACATGAGCCATCCAGTTCAACCCCCTGTCATGCAGGAAAACCACAATCAATGCACCTGACAGATCACATCCAGCCTTGGCTTAAAAGCCTCCAAAGGAGTTTCCACTACACTCGGAGACATATTTTATTATATATCAGAAAACAAGCCATACCTGGAGAGGACAGGTTTCCACAGTTCCACTGTTCACCACTGTGATTTCTTTCTCTGGGTCCCCATGCCCTTGCTCTCACAGCACGCACTCCACCTTGGTGAAATGTTGTGGAATTCACAGCCATCTCCTCAAAGGTCTCTAGGTTCTGAAATATGGAGAAAATGTTCTATGTTAGAATTTCACCCAAAGACAAGATGGAAGTAGAAGTTCTCCAGAACTTAGAATCACAATTGGAAGACACCACACGGGCCATGAAGTCCAACCCCCTTCCATGCAGTTGAAAGCCCTCCTAGATGGCCACATTTGCAGACAGGAACAGGAGAACATTGAGTCGCCTTCCATCGCAAAGAATCATAAAAGGGAAAGAAGCACCCAAGTTGTTTTTGAACAAGATACCCAACAATCTCTGCCGTACCTGCTCTTGTTTCACAGGAAGTGCATCAATATCTCTACAAAGTGAAAGTGACCTAGATGGGATTGCAGCACTGTCTTGGGCTGTCCTTCTGTTTCCTACGAGAGAGACAAAGAAGGTGGGAAGTAGGGGTACCAAATCACAGGCCACCTACCCTGAATCTCCATCATTCACTGGTCCCTTCAGACAGCAGAAGGGTTCAAGCTCTCCAATTTTGGTGGGGTCAGTGCCAGGCAAGAGACAAGGGGTGTGTGAAATTGTCTGGTCATGGGAGCCTTTTGCAAATCACATGACTGTGTCTGTTGTCTCTCTGTCCTTTTTCCTTTATCATGTACTGTAAAAGACAAAGTTATGATGTCTTCCAGGCCAGTGGTTTTCAACCTGTGGGTGCCCAGGTATTTTGGCCTACAACTCCCAGAAATCCCAGCCAGTTTACCAGCTGTTAGGATTTCTGGGCGTTGAAGGCCAAAACATCTGGGGACCCACAGGTTGAGAACCACTGCTCTAGATGGTCATTTTGATTTGATTTAAATTTCCAAATGCCAGTCCTTTTACTGTTAAAATAAATCTTCATCCAGTCTATGTACACTATGGCTACCTTCTCCACCGATTAGATATCCCTAGTTTCACTTACCCATGCTCCAAAGAAATATTCCCTCCGGGAAGTGTTTGTGGGCCTTTCTAGTTCCTCTCTCTAGTTCTTCTCTAAGGAAAGCTTAGAGAAGACAATGATGCTGGGGAAAATGGAAGGAAAAGGGAAGAGGGGCCGACCAAGGGCAAGATGGATGGATGGCATTCTTGAAGGGGCTGGCTTGATTCTGAAGGAGCTGGGGGTGGTGACGTCTGACAGGGAGCTCTGGCCTGGGCTAGCCCAGGAGATCACAAAGAGTTGGAGGCGACTGAACAAATAAACAACAACTAGTTCCCCAGTGTAACATTAGGCTTCTGGCCAAGTATGGTCAAAATACAAGGTTCTCTATTATCCACAGTTTTGGATATTGATGAGGTCTTGGAAAATATCTGCTATGGATAAGGAGGTTGCACTGTAATTGAGAATAAAGAATCTTCTCATTTTGTTTAGACTGGGGAACAGTCTAAACAAATGCTCTGAGACCCTCCTCGGGGGTTCAGAAGGGCAGGGTAGAAATGTTGTAAATGATAATAAATGTCTGTCTTGAATGCCAAACATGGGGAAAAAAGCAAAAAATAAGGAAGAAAGGAAGGAAGGAAGGAAGGAAGGAAGGAAGAAGACAGAATTGAGAAACTGAACGGCAGCTATGATCAATTGTGCTTGTTGCTCAAAGGATAATTTCATCAGTAGGACATCACCAAGAGACCATCCCTACATTCCAGATTTTGAATGAGAAATTCAGGCCCTAGGAATGATCCTGATCTGGCAACCATAGTTGGGAGGATTATAATTCATCAGTTACTACATCCTTGAGTGAAATTAATACTATCTCCATTCTTTTTAGGTCATGCAGTAAGAATCCGGTATGTTCCATGACATTTCACTGATACCTATAACTGTGGATAACAGTGCACGTTCTACAATGGTATCTGCTGGGGTTTGGTATGACTCTCATGGATACCAAAATCCATAGATGGGAAGGCCTTGCATATATTGCATAGTATAAAGAGAAAGAAAAAATCAAAGCTCTGGATTTGAATACACACACACACACACTTTCAAACCATAGATGGTTAAATCTGTTAGAATATTGGTTTAAATGTAATGAATTATTGGTTGTTAGTTTAAATTGCATGTGGTGTAGCAATGCGGTGTAAGAATTAAATGCTTAGAGCTATGCTTGATTGCTAGAGATTAACTTTTGAGTGTTCTGGTAATGTGTTTACATTCCAGAGAATCAGATAGCCATGCTTTAAGCAGTGGTTCTCAATCTGGGGTCCCCAGATGTTTTTGGCCTACAACTCTCAGAAATCCCAGCCAGTTTACCAGCTGTTAGGATTTCTGGGAGTTGAATGCCAAAAACATCTGGGGACCCCAGGTTGAGAACCACTGCGTTAGAGCTTCCAGAGATGTACAGCTAGCAAACGGACATGTTATATTCTGCTCCTGTAAATAGTATAAATTACAATAACAAGATGAGTGCCACTCCGGGCTTTGGAGTTGACTGAGGTAGCATGCTTCATTATTTACTTTTGTGCCTTTGAGCGGACACTCAGAGGTCAATAAATCAATAAAATCTATAGATGCTGAATTTGTGGATATGGAAATCTCTATTTTGATTATACTTGGACCAGAAACATATCATGGAATTGCACTAGAAGACCCAGAGAGGTCCACAAACACTTCCACAGGGAAGGGGAATATTTATTAGAGCACAGGTAAGCGAAACCCATGGATAGTGAGTCTGTTCATAAGGGAGTCACGCTGCAATTCAAGGTGTTGCTTTGGATTTACTTGAGAAACACATCTTTTGTGGAAACGGTTTTTTCCAAATGTTCTGAGAAGCTGGAAAGAATGGTTACCTTGGAAAGAGACTCAAGGAGAACAAGAACAATATCAGATATTGTTGTGGAAGCAGAGGATGTGCAAATATCATTCTATCTCATCCTTACCCACTGAGGGAGAACTTCCATTACTCTTCTGCTCAGTCCTCCTTGATAGCTGCTTCTTTTTAGCATCTTTGGGGAACTTCTCCACAGCTGAGAAATCCATGACCACTCTTGATGGCTCCTGGAAGAAAAAGAAGGATCACAAGATCATAGAACTATAGAGCTCGAAGAGACCACTGCTGAATAAATTGTTACAATAGTTTGAGAATGGTGAAAAAATGTGAATGAGTTCAGACACACACTGTCTGTTGTGGCATCCTTGGTTCAGGGGGATGGTGTCCAAAAAAAGTCTGACCCAGAAACCATGAGGGTGAGTGTGAGGCACTCTAACTTGTGGCGTGGCGGAAGAGACCACTTATTTATGTATCTAACCAGAAATGCATGACGGTCAAGAAGTGGGCAGGCTGCCAGCCTGAGCAAATATGACACCAAGGAATAAAAGATTGTATACTTCTTTTTCATCCTTTTATGACTTCTAAAGTTGGAGGTGATATATGAAGAGAGAGGCTTTGTTTGAAATGAAACAGTAACTCGGTTTATTTGTAGCATTCTTGTGGCAAAAGCGTAGTGGTTACAGAGGTTCAAATGCTTGCTGATTACAAAATAACATTTCAGTATGAGTTTCATTCAATCTTTTCTTTCTTCCAAAAAGGACTGTTATAATAATACATAAAAACAGGTTTCCAACTATCTTTAACTTGTTCCTCTATCTAATTTTCTAGCTGCTTCTCAGCTAACGTCCTCCCTCACTCTTTCTCACTGACCAACCACACCAGAATGTACAATTAGGCTTCCTCAACCTATTTCTCTGACTAATTTTCCAGTAGCTTTCCAGCTAACGTCTTCCCTGACCTTAGCTCACTAATCAACTCCCTTGAATGTTCAGTTAGGCTCCTTCAGCTGTCATCCTTAACTCTCCCATCTTTCATATCTTGGGACCCGCTCATTTGCATATGAGTTGTTCGCATGCAAAGAGCCTCCCCACTGGTGCTATTGCTTTCTGGGCACCACAAAATGGCTGCCCACACGACAGCCCTTTAAGGTAGGTCACATCCTAACTTTCTAAGGCAAGCCAAATTCACTACATAGAATCATAGAATCAAAGAATCAAAGAGTTGGAGGAGACCTCATGGGCCATCCAGTCCAACCCCCTGCCAAGAAGCAGGAATATTGCATTCAAATCACCCCTGACAGATGGCCATCCAGCTCTGTTTAAAAGCTTCCAAAGAAGGAGCCTCCACCACACTCCGGGGCAGAGAGTTCCACTGCTGAACGGCTCTCACAGTCAGGAAGTTCTTCCTCATGTTCAGATGGAATCTCCTTTCTTGTAGTTTGAAGCCATTGTTCCACATCCTAGTCTCCAGGGAAGCAGAAAACAAGCTTGTTCCCTCCTCCCTGTGACTTCCTCTCACATATTTATACATGGCTATCATATCTCCTCTCAGCCTTCTCTTCTTCAGGCTAAACATGCCCAGTTCCTTAAGCCGCTCCTCATAGGGCTTGTTCTCCAGACCCTTGATCATTTTAGTCGCCCTCCTCTGGACACATTCCAGCTTGTCAATATCTCTCTTCAATTGTGGTGCCCAGAATTGGACACAATATTCCAGGTGTGGTCTAACCAAAGCAGAATAGAGGGTAGCATTACTTCCCTAGATCTAGACACTATGCTCCTATTGATGCAGGCCAAAATCCCATTGGCTTTTTTTGCCGCCACATCACATTGTTGGCTCATGTTTAACTTGTTGTCCACGAGGACCCCAAGATCTTTTTCACACGTCCTGCTCTTAAGCCAGGCATCGTCCCCCATTCTGTATCTTTGCATTTCGTTTTTTCTGCCTAAGTGGAGTGTCTTGCATTACACTACAGTGAGACATGTAGAGGCCCTCGCAATTAGTGGGAGAGGTAGCAAAAGGTGGACCACCCTCACAGAAACAGGATTTTTTAGGAAACATCTCACCTGTGAAGCTTCCTTCTGGTTCGCTGCCTGATCCAGGAGGAATCCTTCAGCCAAAGCCACCGCCTGGGAACTGGTCTTTGCCCCATATTCCCGTACCCAGTGCTCTATTTCCGGAGGAAGGACAGCCAGGAACTGCTCCAGGATCACCAGGTCCAATATCTGGGCTTTGGTGTGCTTCTCTGGCTTCAGCCACTCACAGCAAAGATCACAGAGTTGCCTGCAAACTTCTCGAGGCCCTTCGGCATCCTGGTAACAAACTTCCCTGAAGCGCTGGCGCTGTATATCCGAACTCAGGTTGTCCTCACCCAGGAGAATCCATCCTTCTTTTTTACAGGGATCCTCACTTCTTCTTATCCAGCTGTGATTGGGATCTTTCTCTGCCTCAGGATCAGATGAGTCTTGCTCTGCCATCTTGGCTCTTCTGCAGCCCTGCTTCCCAAACAACTTGAGAGAATTCCTTTGTTTTCTGCCCACTTTCTTTCTTGAGACAAAGATGGGATCCGTTTGGGGTGGAGACCTTCTGGGTGCAAGTATTACAATAGTTGAGCACTTGAAAAGAAATGCTCAGGCATTCTAGTCTGTGACCATGGCCTCCTTCTGCAAGGAAAGACAGGTAAACAAAGAGTGACTCTAAGGAATGCAAGAGATGGCAAGCAAGCTCGGGTGGATGAGAATGACACTTCCGTTCAAGTGCCCCTGTCTCAAACTGGCAAGACTACATTTGATGGGACAAGGGGCACAATACTCTCACATATGTGAAAAATCAAGAATGAATACATATATCTCAAGGTAATATCTCTCTAGGAACCTCTAGGTAAGGGGTCCACAAACTTTTTAAACAGAGGGCCAGGTCACAATCCCTCAAACTGTTGGAGGGCCGGATTATAATTTGAAAAAAAATGAATGAATTCCTATGCACACTGCACATATCTTATTTGTAGTGCAAAAACACTTAAAACAATACAATAATTAAAATGAAGAACAATTTTAACAAATATAAACTTATTAGTATTTCAATGGGAAGTGTGGGCCTGCTTTTGGCTGATGACATAGGATTGTTGTTGTTGTTGTTGTTTGCTTTTCAAGTAATTTCAGACTTAGGTTGACCCTGAGCGAGGGCCGGGTAAATGACCTTGGAAGGCCGTGTCCGGCCCCCGGGCCTTAGTTTGAGGACCCCTGCTCTAGGTCATGGGTGTTTGCAGCATAGCATTAGTCTCACAGTGTATTGTTGAAGGCTTTCATGGCTGGAATCACTGGGTTGTTGTAGGTTTTTTGGGCTATATGGCCATGTTCCAGAAGCATTCTCTCCTAACGTTTCACCTGTATCTATGGCAGGCATCTCAGAGTTTGTGAGGGCCAGCTATCACTTCTGAGGGTTGCCTTTGAAGACGGCTCGGAAGCTCCAATTAGTCCAACGGGCGGCAGCCATGATACTAACAGGAGCGGAGCGCAGGGAGCATACAACTCCTCTGCTGCACCAGCTCCACTGGCTGCCGATCTGCTACCGGGCTCAATTCAAAGTGCTGGCGTTGGCCTTTAAAGCCCTAAACGGTTCTGGCCCAACCTACCTATCCGAACGTATCTCGGCCTATCAGCCCACCAGGACCCTAAGATCTTCTGGGGAGGCCCTGCTCTCTATCCCGCCTGCTTCACAGGTGCGGCTGGCGGGGACGAGAGACAGGGCCTTTTCTGTGGTGGCCCCTCGGCTTTGGAACGCCCTCCCCATAGAGGTAAGATCAGCCCCCTCATTGATGGTATTCCGAAGAAGATTGAAGACCTGGATGTTCAAGCAGGCATTTGGTTAACTCAGTGCAATGAATGGTAATTGACTAAAGGACTGGCAATATGGACGACGAACTGGATCACGTTTTTAGTTAAGAGTTGAACTGGATTGGTATTGATGTATGAATTGTGTTTTATGTTTTTTATGCTTTTAACTGTATACTGTTGATTGTTATATTATGTTGTAAACCGCGTTGAGTCGCCGGTTAGGCTGAGAAACGGCGGTATACAAATATAGCAAATAAATAATAAATAAATATAGCCCAAAAAACCTACAACAACCCAATATTACAGTGACCTGGAAAAATTACTTTTTCAGACTGTAATACCCCAAATCCTTCCTTCCATCCATCTCTTATATTAGATCCCACCCTTTCCCATACTTGGACCCAAGGAGCTTACAAAGAGGCAGAAAATACAATGTATTGAATTTGTGTCACATTGGCTGTAAACAATGTATTGCAAAGGTTGTGAGCTGCCTTGAGTCCCTATGTTGGGAAAAAGGTGGGATAAACATTAAGTAAATAAATGAATAACAAAATATACACAGCACATAGAGTTCAAAATCAACAAAAGAGCAATTGAAACAATTAAGCCATTAATATCTGCACATTCTGGTTCCTTTTGGGGTATCAGCAGATTCCTGCGATGAGGATGTCCTAGCAGAGGGATCTTGCATTTCTATTTTGAAAGGGAGAGTGTCTGTGTCTTTTCTGCTTCTAGGCCTGTCTGCCTCCCTTTTGTTCCCTCCTGCTCATCAGCCTCACTCTCTCCATCCCTTTTTCCTGGGGTTCCTTCCCCTCCCCATAGCCCCCAATTCTCTCCTTGCACTCACCTGGCCTGTTTTACAAGATGCTTTTCTAAGTGGATGGGTGGGTGGGTGAGATGGCAGTCCTCTTTGGCTGGAGTTGGGAGGAGAGCTAACAAATAGATGGGGGAGGGATATGAAGGGATCGGAAGTGAGCTTCTCAGGTGACCCTCTAGTCATTGTAAGACTCTCTGGTTTTAACCCTTGAGATGGGTTAGAAGGCCGGATTATCAATACAGAATCATCCAGTTTGCAGACGACACCAAATTGGGAGGGATAGCCAATACTCCAGAGGACAGGAGCAGAATTCAAAACGATCTTGACAGATTAGAGAGATGGGCCAAAACTAACAAAATGAAGTTCAACAGTGACAAATGCAAGATACTCCACTTAGGCAGAAAAAACGAAATGCAAAGATACAGAATGGGGGACAATGCCTGGCTTGAGAGCAGTACGTGTGAAAAAGATCTTGGAGTCCTCGTGGACAACAAGTTAAACATGAGCCAAAAATGTGATGTGGCGGCAAAAAAAGCCAATGGGATGTTGGCCTGCATCAATAGGAGAAGTGTCTAGATCTAGGGAAGTAATGCTACCCCTCTACTCCGCTCTGGTTAGACCACACCTGGAATATTGTGTCCAATTCTGGGCACCACAATTCAAGAGAGATATTGACAAGCTGGAATGTCCCACCTCGGAGTCTGAGATCTTCTGGGGAGGCCCTGCTCTCGACCCCACCTCTATCACAAGTGAGATTGATGGCGACGAGAAGCAGGGCCTTCTCGGCAGTGGCCCCTCACCTGTGGAATTCACTCCCCGGGAAAATTAGGTCATCGACATCCCTCCTCTCCTTCAGAAGGAAATTAAAAACATGGTTGTGGGACCAGGCTTTCGGGCAACCTGGCAGTTAGACAAGGACAATGATGAGTAGACAATATGGAATGAATTTATGGACTCTGAGATGGTGAACGCTGAGTACTGACTGGTTTTATTGATTTTGTTGTATAAAGTGACTGTTTAATTGTTATAATTGCTGTATACGTGTTTTATCCATTGTTTATGTTGGCATCGAATTGTGCCTTTTGTAAGCCGCCCTGAGTCCCCCCTCGGGGGTTGAGAAGGGTGGGGTAGAAATGCGTGAAATAAACAAATAAATAAAATAATGTGTCCAGAGGAGGGTGACTAAAAGGATCAAGGGTCTGGAGAACAAGCCCTATGAGGAGCGGCTTAAGGAGCTGGGCATGTTTAGCCTGAAGAAGAGAAGGCTGAGAGGAGATATGATAGCCATGTATAAATATGTGAGAGGAAGCCACAGGGAGCAAGCTTGTTTTCTGCTTCCCTGGAGACTAGGACGCAAACAATGGCTTCAAACTACAAGAGAGGAGATTCCATCTGAACAAGAGGAAGAACTTCCTGTGAGAACCGTTCAGCAGTGGAACTCTCTGCCCCGGAGTGTGGTAGAGGCTCCTTCTTTGGAAGCTTTTAAACAGAGGCTGGATGGCCATCTGTCAGGGGTGATTTGAATGCAATATTCCTGCTTCTTGGCAGGGGGTTGGACTGGATGGCCCATGAGGTCTCTTCCAACTCTGTGATTCTATGATTCTATGGGTCCCCCTGCCCCAACACCCTTGCAAAAGAACTGCCTCCTTAATGCAAAAAGCAAGGAGGGATTCAAATGTGTTACAAAAGCAGGGTGGGCATTGCTTTGCAAAAGATCCCAGGCCACCACGACACATAATTTTCGTTCTTGCATTATCAATGTCATTTCCATAGGGAAAGTTTATTAAATTGCAAAAACTTTGTTTCTGCGGGATGGACATCATCCCGCAATAGCACATATTGCTACAGTTTTTTGATGAATTTTAAAAAAGCAGGAATCAATCAGGACCAGCTAACACCTCCCAACAAAGGATTCCTGCATGCAGCAAACAGCCAGGCATTGAAACTGCAAGGCAGTTAAATGCTAATCAGGGTGGCCATTTGCAATGTTCATACTTGCTTTGAGCAGACAAGAATTCTTTCTCCCTCCCTAGACATTATTCCACAGAAATATAAACCTCACTTGCTTAGTTTCCAAGAGACCTCACAGCCTCTGGGGATGCCTGCCATAGATGTGGGCGAAACGTCAGGAGAGAATGCTTGTGGACTATGGCCATACAGCCTAGAAAACACACAACCAGAAACTTTTTTTCTATGGGATGGACATCATCCTGCAATAGCACATTTTGCTACAGTTTTTCAGTGAGTATCTCATAGTCTCACCCAGTTCAGCATAGTTTGTGGCAAACACAATAACAAAGTCTCTGGAGCAGAACAACTGCTTTCCAAGTAAGTGTTGCACAATTGAACAGGAAACAATACTTCCAAACCAGGAACAGAAAATGTTTGAGATTCCGTTAAACTTCGTTAATATTTGGGTTGTCCTTGGGAACTTTTGGACTTCAGATCCCAGAAGCTTCAGCTGCCTCGGCCAATAATCTAGGAATCTGCGGGCCGGAGTCCAAATAATCTGGAAGACCAGAGTTTGGGAAACACTGTGGATTATAGTCTTCCAGGATTTTAGACATCAACTTCCAGACACCTTAGCTGTAGTGTCCAATGATCAAGGACTGGACTTCATCACCAGGAAGATTAGTGTTAGGAAAAGATTGCATGTTGGGTTCTGGTCCTGTGTCATCGGGGATTCCGGGACTTGGAGTCCAAATATGCTGAAACACCAGATTTTGGGAAACATTGGAAAGGAGGAATTGGAAACATCTCCTCCCTCTGTTCTTTCATCAACAATTGGCTCCTTTTGTGGAAATTTTGATTGTTAGTGGCTCAGGAGGGTGAAAACAAGGATGCAAGTTGGAAAACCATCTGTCTCAGATTAATGACTGCACACTAGTCGTGTGCATTCAGGGTAAACCTTGATTCATTTCATGTCCTGGCTTTCAGTGGAGCCCCCAATCCATTTCTACTGAGTCTCCCGAAATCAGGACAGACATTTGTTTTTGGTTTTCGGGTGCCATAAGATTTGTTTTCTTTCGGCCCATTATTGGGGGGGGGGGGCTTCCCACCCAGGCTCCCCTTCCCAGCGTGACTTTTGGACGGGGTTTGCCTTACCTTCATCTGGAGAGTTGAAGGGCTTTCTGGCTTGGGCTGATGACCCATCGTGTTTGCTGCCAGTGGCCTTGCTCCGCAACCCAAAGCGTAGGCCCAAAGCGCCCAGGTCTCAAGGGCCTGCACCCAAGTGCCAAGTAAGCAGTGCTCCTTACTCGGCACTCGGCTGCAGCCCTGGCAGGCCTGGGCATGTAGGGCTAAAGCACCTGGGCTTTCAAGGGCTTGCACCCAAGTGCCGAGTAAGCAGCACTCCTTACTTGGCGCTCAGCTGCAGGCCCTGGCAGGCCTGGGAGTGTAGGGCCAAAGCACCCGGGCTTGCAAGGGCCTGCACCCAAGTGCTGAGTAAGCAGCGCTCCTTACTTAACACTCGGCTTCAGGCCCTGGCAGGCCTGGGTGTGTAGGGCCAAAGCACCCGCATTTGCAAGGGCCTGCACCCAAGTGCCGAGTAAGCAGCGCTCCTTACTTAACACTCGGCTTCAGGCCCTGGCAGGCCTGAGTGTGTAGGGTCAAAGCGCCCGGCCTTGCAAGGGCCTGCACCCAAGTGCTGAGTAAGCAGCACTCCTTACTTGGTGCCAGCTGCAAGCCCTGGCAGGCCCAGGCATGTGGGGCCAAACACCCAGGCTTGCAAGGGCTTGCACCCAAGTGCCGAGTAAACAGTGCTCCTTACTTGGTGCTCGGTTGCAGCCCTGGCAGGCCTGGGCATGTAGGGCTAAAGCACCTGGGCTTGCAAGGGCTTGCACCCAAGTGCCGAGTAAGCAGCACTCCTTACTTGGCGCTCAGCTGCAGGCCCTGGCAGGCCTGGGAGTGTAGGGCCAAAGCACCCGGGCTTGCAAGGGCCTGCACCCAAGTGCTGAGTAAGCAGCGCTCCTTACTTAACACTCGGCTTCAGGCCCTGGCAGGCCTGGGCGTGTAGGACCAAAGCACCCGGGCTTGCAAGGGTCTGCACCCAAGTGCCGAGTAAGCAGAGCTCCTTACTTAACGCTCGGCTTCAGGCCCTGGCAGGTCTGGGCGTGTAGGGTCAAAGCACCCAGGCTTGCAAGGGCCTGCACCCAAGTGCCGAGTAAGCAGCGCTCCTTACTTAACACTCGGCTTCAGGCCCTGACAGGCCTGAGTGTGTAGGGCCAAAGCATCCAGGCTTGCAAGGGCCTGCACCCAAGTGCTGAGTAAGCAGTTCTCCTTACTTGGTGCTTTGCTGCAGGCAGAAGTAGTACTAATACTACTACTATCATATCCAACAGAAAACTGGGCGACTTGGAAGGTGCTGAACAGACTGCGCTCTGGCACTGCGAGATGCAGAGCCAACCTCAAGAAATGGGGCTACAAAGTGGAATCCACGACATGCGAGTGTGGAGAAGAGCAAACCACTGACCACCTGCTGCAATGCAACCTGAGCCCTGCCACATGCACATGGAGGACCTTCTTGTGGCAACACCAGAGGCACTCCAAGTGGCCAGATACTGGTCAAAGGACATTTAATCAACTACCAAGCTTGCAAACTTTGTGTTTTGCTTGTTTGTTTGTTAAAAAATGCAATGCAACTGTTTGGTTTGCTCCTGACACGATAAATAAACCAACAGCTGGTCACCATAATGTAGGCAAGAACTGATAAAAGATAAATAGAGTGATATGTCATCATATGTTGCCCATGAGGATATTTTTGTTTGCTTTGACACATTTATTGGGTTTTCAGTGGAACCCAGAAATTTATGGAAAACTGGATTGCATTTTTAAATACTGGATGTGGTGTCTTCAGGAGCTGGAAAATGGGAGCCAGGAGCTGTATGCAATGCTCACCCTGGCTGGAGACAGCAACAAATGAATAGACACACACAGAGGATTGAGTAACAAGTTTATCCATAGGATTAATAATAGATAGTGGCATAATACTATGCCCAGACCCTCCCACCCTCCCTCCCCCTCCTGGTAGCAATACCCCAGAGCAATGCACAGAATAAAACTCAAAAAGAAACAAAAAATATATAATATCCTAAAAGCCTGCTTTTAAAATACCGCCCTGTTCTGCCTTAGAAGCACCAGCTGCTCAAAGAGCTCGTCGGACAAGGAATGTCTCTTGACGGTCATGACTTTACCGCCAGTGCTGAAGAGCTGTTCGATGGCGGCGCTCGAAGGCATCCCCGTGTTGTATTGCAGGAAGCTCTGCATGACGCGAGGGAAGGCGTGGAGCAAGGAGACCTCCCTGCTGGGCGACCGCAGGTACCGCGACACCTCCTCCTCCACAGAGTCCTCCTGGGCCGAGGTCTTCTCCCGGGGAGGGATGTTGAAGAACTCGTCCTCCAAACTGGCTCCTTCGGGGTCCTTCTCCGAGGACTTGTCCCCGGCCTCCTCAACTGTGCCCCTGATTTCGGCTTTCAACAAGGTTTCCATCATGCACCTGGAGGGGATGGGGACATGGTAACACAGATTAGGAACCACTGGCAATTTTGCCAGCATTTCTCAACCTGAGGTTAGGGATCCCTGGGGGGATCGCTAGGGGGTTTCAGAGGGGTCACCAAAGACCACCAGAAAACACACATTTGTAGTAATATATAATACTGATATTGTGCTATGCTAATAATGTAATATATTGTGTGTGTGTGTGTGTGTGTGTGTGTGTGTGTATGTATGTGTGTGTGTGTGTGTGTGTATATATATATATATATATATATTGTAAGCCGTTCTGAGTCCCCTTCGGGATGAGGAGGGCGGCATACAAATGATGTAAATAAATAAATGCACATATGTTATTATATATATATATATATATATATATATATCACACATATATAAAACACATATTATAATGTAATACAATAATTACTACTACTACTAATAATACAATATTATAAATATATATTTTATTTTACATGTAATATTACTAATAATATTACAATATAACGTATAGTGCAATATAGTAATATATATTACTGATATTGCACTATTGCACTATGTATATATATCTTGCAAGCCGCTCTGAGTCCTCTTTGGGGTGAGAAGGGCGGCATAGAAATGTCATAAATAAATAATAAATAAATTTCTGACAGTCTTAGGAACCCCTCTGGCAGATAAAGCTGAAGATCTCAATATGTAAGCTGCATTGAGTCCCCCTTGGGGTACACCAGGCACCCTCAAACTGTGGCCCTAGCTGTTTGGGCCTCCAACTCCCAGAAGCCCTATCCAGCTTGTTCAATATTCAGGAATTATGGGAGTTGGAAGCCAAAACAGCTGGATGGCCACAGTTTGAGGATGCCTGGGGTAGAGAAAGGCGGGGTATAAATCGGGCAAATAAATAAATAAATGTCTCCGTCTGTCCTTCTCTTCCTTTTTAGAGTCCTCCCACCAAAAGCCCTCCTCCAGTGTGATTGACCAGCTTCTTAGCTGGTCTCTCAGCCAAGGTGAAGGCTGTTTCTGAGACTCCAAGTGTGTGTGTATGTGGGGGGGGGGGGGGGGGCAGGGGTGTTTGGTGCATGGCAGCGTGGGAGAGCATGCAAGGCTGAAGGGAGAGTCCCTTCAAGGCATGGAGGGTTTGTGTGGGGTGTTTGGCCCAATTCTATCATTGGTGGGTTTTCAGAATTTATTTATTTATTTAATATCATTTTTACCCCACCGAAAGGTGACTCGGGGCCACGAACAATCGGCACAATTTGATGCCATATATAAAATACATACGTCAATAAAAATGATCTAAAAACATCAAACCAGTGAACAATAAAAAATTTAAAACTATGTCGTCATAGTCAGTCCTCATCCGTTCCATCGTCTTAGCTGTTCCTATGTCGTTTTCCAATTCAAGGTTTATCTGATTAAGCTGAGGCTTCAAAAGCTTACTCGAATAGCAAAGTTTTCAGTTTTTTTTCGAAAGCTTAGGAGGGAGGGGGCAGATCTGATATCCCTGGGCACAGTGGTTCCACAGCCGAGGGGCCACCACAGAGAAGAGCCCTGTCTCTCGTCCCCGTGATGTGCTTGTGAAGCAGGTGGGATCGAGAGCAGGGCCTTCTCCAACGATCTCAAATCTCTACTGGGTTCATAGGGGGAGATGTGTTTGGATAGATAAGAATGCTCTTTGATTGTAGGTGAACTATAAATCCCAGGAACTACAACTCCCAAATGTCAAGGTCTATTTTTCCCAAGCTCCACCAGTGTTCACATTTGGGCATATTGAATATTTGTGCCAAATTTGGTCCAGATCCATCATTGTTTGAGTCCAGAGTGCTCTCTGGATGTAGGTGAACTCCTACTTCAAAACTCAAGGTCAATACCCACCAAACCAATGCCCACCAATCACATCTCATTTCCACAGTACAGCCACTGTACCTGCAAGACCAGTACATGCAGATTATTTTATTATTATTATTATTATTACTAGCCGTCCCCTGCCATGCATTGCTGTGGCCCACATGGGGGTTCTGTGTGGGAGGTTTGGCCCAATTCTATCGCTGGTGGGGTTCAGAATGCTCTGTGATTGTAGATGAACTATAAATCCCAGCAACTACAACTCCCAAATGTCAAGATTCTATTTTCCCCAAACTCCACCAGTGTTCACATTTGGGCATATTGAGTATTTGTGCCAAATTTGGTCCAAGTCCATCATTGTTTATGTCCACAGTGATCTCTGGATGTAGGTGAACTACAACTCCAAAACTGCTCTTTGATTGTAGGTGAACTATAAATCCCAGCAACTACAACTCCCAAATGACAAAATCAATTTTTTTGAGTGAAGGACATACATTGGGTTGTTAGGTGTCTTGTGTCCAAATTTGGTGTCAATTCGTCCAGTGGTTTTTGAGTTCTGTTAATCCCACAAACGAACATTACATTTTTATTTATATAGATATGAGAATTCAACTCGCAAACACAGAGACAAGGAGGAATGACGAGAGAGGGAGAGAGAGGAGTTTAGGATGGAAAACAGACCTCAGAGGTTGTGAGGTCTGTTGGAAACTAGGCAAGTGGTGTTATATATCTGTGGAATGTCTAGAATGGGAGAAATAACTTTTATTCTGAACATGAGGAAGAACTTCCTGACTGTGAGAGCCGTTCAGCAGTGGAACTCTCTGCCCCAGAGTGTGGTGGAGGCTCCTTCTTTGGAAGCTTTTAAACAGAGGCTGGATGGCCATCCGTCAGGTGCTTTGAATGCAATATTCCTGCTTCTTGGCAGGGAGTTGGACTGGATGGCCCATGAGGTCTCTTCCAACTCTATGATTCTATTCAATGCTAATCTAGGAGGCCAATTGCAACGTTCACACTTGCCTCAAACAGACGGGAGTTTTTTTTTCTCCCACCCTGGACATTATTCTACAGACAAACCCCACTTGCCTAGTTTCCAACAGACCTCACAACCTCTGAGTATGGCTGCCGTTGATGTGAGCAAAACATCAGGAGAAATTGCTGCTGGAACATGGCCAGGTAGCCCAGAAAACTCACAGCAACCCAGAGATTCCAGCCATGAGAGCCTCCAACAACACATTGCTGTTGTTGTTGATTGGTTCTCCAGATGATTTTATGATATGCTTCTACTGGAATTTGACCATAGAGTTGTGTAGAAGGACCTAGTGATGCTTAGAGGGGTGTAACCCATAAGTTGTTGATCCAACTGGTTGATTACCTATGATTTTGTGTATCCATGTGAAGTCCAGGAATGTGTCCCCCATGGATACAGGCGTTGTACTGTACAGGCATAGCTCGCTGCTGCCCGTGGTTGATCTACTCTTCTTTTTTCTTGATGTAGTAACTGAACTCTGCTTTTCTGCCAAAGTTTCCTTTAAAGAGACAATGTCCATGAACCCATCTACTTCATTAAATGAGGCATGCTGTTTATTTCCTTACCTGTTTGTCTGGGAGTTCTGTGCCGATTCCAACCAGTCGACTTTGAAGCGAGGGTGGAGGCAAGCCGCCAGCAGAAGCTTCTTGTCCTCCCAAATATGTGCAAACCGTTTCCGGAGCGCCTTGCGGACCCCCTTCAAGAGGGGAAGGCAATATGTGTACCTGGCGGGTTCCTTCTCCAAGCCCTGGAGCTTGCGGTCCAGGTTGTACAGAGTGGGGAGCAGGTACCCCATGAACATGCCGTTGTCCTGCTGCAGGATGTCAAGGGCCTGAGCCAGGGGACCCATGACCTCTGTGTATTCCTGCAGGACCAGAGCCTCGGCCGTCGTGATCCTGGCCAGAGAACACTGGTCCATTATGGTATCCAGCTTCAGCGGCATGCTGGAGAGGAGCTCACTGAGCTGCTTCAGGGCTTCAAAGGTGGAGTGCCACCTGGTCTTGTCCGGCACCATCAGATACACCCCGTACTGCTTGTGGATGTACTCTGCAATCTGCTCCGACTGCTCCTGCTTGGACCACAGCTTGCTGCATTTTCCCATCAAGGAGCAAAAGTGTTTTCTGAAAAGAGCCAGAGGACTATTTGGGGAGGAGTTGGTCACCATGGCTTGGACCTCTTGGGTGGCCACCAGGTTGAGGGTGTGGCTGGCGCATCGCTGGTGCGGGGGTAAGCCGAAATCCCCAGAATCCCCCGCTTCTGCTTTTGCCTTGTTGCTGCCATTCAACATCTCGGAGATGGGCACAAACTCCACCTCCATCTCCTCATCGTCGGACTCCTCATCATCATGGCGATGACCATTACCCTCATCACTGTCACTGTCACTTTCATCTTCTACGTTATCATCTGCACTGCTGTCTGCAGCATCGGCCGGTTCTTTGGTCTCGAAAAACCGAAACGCTTTCACAAAGTTGAAGCCATTGTCCGTGGTGGTGCACACAACTTTGCCGTGGATCTTGTACTTCTTGTAAACCTTGCACAGGGTTTTCGCAAGCACCTCGTAAGTGGGGCGCCCTTTGAGGCGCTTACAAGCCAAGGCCCCGAACTCACGCTCCAGCGTCGTTGGGTTGATCCAGTGGGCTGTGACCCCCAGGAAACGCCTCTTGCCATACGTCCAGCAGTCCGCGGTGGTTGCCACATGTTCCACGGCACCCAGCCGCCGCAGGAGCCTTTCCTGCATACTGGCCGCTCTCTTCTCGATGCTGTCCCTCAGAGTCTTGGAGCACATGATGGTCAGGCACTTTGGGAGGCCGAGGCGGACCAACCCGACGAAGGACGGCCGGTCTACGGTGTGAAGAGGCAAAGTTTCGTCCACAATGAAATCCATGATTTTCCGGTCGAGAATCTTCTGGGTGATCTGCTCCTTGCCCGATCCCCACCTCTCCAGGGTGGCCTGCTGTTGCTGCTGTTGCTTCAACATTTTGATCGAAGGCGGATCATCATCATCGTCCAGCAGCTCTTCAAAAAAGCCACGCTTCTTCCCCTTTCCTGCGTTTTCAGATGTTCCCAGTTTCTCAGGGTGTGCCTTCTGGAGAAGACCAAGGGGCAAGAAAGCATTAATTTTAAGGATGGGGGCAAAAAAGGCTGCTGAAAACTGAAAACATATAAATAAATTATAGAATCCATCATTCTTTCTTGCTAACATATTTATTTTTTAACGCTTTCTCCAGAACTCAAAGATGTTTACAAAGATGCTTAAAGAGCTGGGCATGTTTAGCCTGCAGAAGAGAAGGTTGAGAGGAGACATGGGAGCCATGCAAGATACTCCACTTAGGCAGAAAAAAATGAAATGTAAAGATACAGAATGGGGGACGCCTGACTCAAGAGCAGTACGTGTGAAAAAGATCTTGGAGTACTCATGGACAACAAGTTAAACATGAGCCAACAATGTGATGTGGCGGCAAAAAAAGCCAATGGGATTTTGGCCTGCATCAATAGGAGCATAGTGTCTAGATCCAGGGAAGAAATGCTACCCCTCTATTCTGCTTTGGTTAGACCACACCTGGAATATTGTGTCCAATTCTGGGCACCACAATTCAAGAGAGAGCTTGACAAGCTGGAATGTGTCCAGAGGAGGGCGACTAAAATGATCAAGGGTCTGGAGAACAAGCCCTATAAGGAGTGGCTTAAAGAACTGGACATGTTTAACCTGCAGAAGTGAAGGCTGAGAGGAGACATGATAGCCATGTATAAATATGTATAGTTCAAGTGTAGTTCTCGTCCTTGTTTCATGAAAGCCTTGCTTGGAAGATACTTGACTAAGTATTTCTTGTTTCATGGTTTGGATTCTTGGATTGTATGGATGCATACTCATGACTTGGATTAAAGTTTCCTTTGCTGAATTATATTAGAGAAGTGCGGACTTTGTTTTTATGGACTTTGTTGAACTTTACCCTGGACTATTTTTGCTCCTGCTTATCTTCTTACCTAATTGGATTCACCTATTTCTTTAAAGTGCTTTTTACTTGCTGCTTTTTAATTAACTTCAATAAAAGGATTGTTTTCCAATCAACGGTGTAGTGTTTATCATCAGAGGGCTTTTCCTGTCTTGGAGTGCAACAGCCATACAGCCCAAAAGACTTAGGTTTAAAAACCTCCAAAGAAGGAGCCTCCACCGCATGCCGGGGCAGAGAGTTCCACTGTTGAACAGCTCTCACAGTCAGGAAGTTCTTCCTAATGTTCAGATGGAATCTCCTTTCCTGTAGTCTGAAGCCATTGGTCCATTGCCTCCTAGTCTCCAGGGCAACAGAAAACAAGCTTGCTCCTTCCTCTCTATGACTTCCCCGGTCTCACATCTTGATCCATGGCCCTCATCATGTCTCCTCTCAGCCTTCTCTTCTGCAGGCTAAACATGCCCAGCTCTTTAAGCTGCTCCTCATAGGGCTTGTTCTCCAGACCCTTGATCATTTTAGTCACCCTCCTCTGGACACATTCCAGCTTGTCAATATCTCTCTTCAATTCTGGTGCCCAGAATTGGACACAATATTCCAGGTGTGGTCTAATCAAGGCAGAATAGAGGGGTAGCATGACTTCCCTGGATCTAGACACTAGATTCCCTCCTCCCTATGACTTCCTCTCACATATTTATACATGGCCATCATGTCTCCTTTCAGCCTTCTCTTCTGCAGGCTAAACCTGACCAGCTCTTTAAGCCGCTCCTCATAGGGCTTTAGGATGAAGAGAAAAGGGCTTACCCTAAAGATCTGAATCCCATGGCTGACTGATATGGGAACATGGTCCATCATGTTCTCCAGACTTAACCCTCTCTCAATACATGGCTTTTTCTGGCGCTTTATGAGAACTGGCACGACCAACTCTTACCTCTAAATGTTTCCTCAAGTTGGTGGCTGAGTTCACGGCGGAGCTGACATTTTTGATGACCGGCAGGCAGTAGTTGCATTGCATCAGCACACTTCCCCCCTTCTGGCGCACAAAGGTGAATGCTTTCTCTAAGCCCGCGAAAGGGTCCTGCTGGCGTGAAGCCGGGGCGCTCGGCTGCGGCTCCGCCTCCTCCTCGTGTGCAGAGCCTTCGTGCGGCTGAGTCTCCACAATCTGGGACTCACCGCTGTGGATGATTGGGAGGATCCTCACCTCTGCGTTGACATTTGCCTCAACAGCAGCCACATTACTCTCTACGGTAAAACAACAAAAAGGTCTGCAATTTTAAAATGTTTACGTCGGAGTGACTTCATGTAATATCTCAGTCTTTCTAATAGCTAACCCAAGTCATTAACTCTATGGATGTGTGTGTGTGGCATGTGCGGGATCGGGGTGGAACGGGCCCGAGACCCATACAGTTGGCTCCCTATCTAAACAATCTCATAGTAGGAAGTTAAGTTTATTTATGAAAGCTGTTGAGATTAGCGTGAGCATCAGCTACAACTCACAGAGTTCTTCGCCTCTGGTTATGCTGGCTTGCAATGCTGGGAACTGCAGTCTAATGACACCTGAAGGAGTTGTTTCCTCCCCTTTGGCTTGGTGTGTGAAATAGCTTCAAAAAAAACCAAGTACAGTATGATCTCAATATCTACAGAAGCTGTGTTTCTGTTCTGCTTTTGACTACTTATTAATTTATGACTTTAAAGTCTGTTTGTCTGTCTGTCTGTCTATCTATCTATATCAGGCATGGGCAAAATTGGGCCCTCTAGGTGTCTTGAACTTCAACTCCCACAATTCCTAACAGTTTGCCCATGCCTGATATATACACCCCCCCCCCCCCCACACCCTATCATAGTGTGTTACCAATACCAACTTTTAATCTGCAAAGGGGTTACGTTGTCGGTTTGGCACCTAATGGCTGAATGCTATGGAATCCCGGAAATTAAGAGTTTTCGAGATTTTGGGCTTCAATACACACAATCATAGAATCACAGAATCATAGAATCAAAGAGTTGGAAGAGACCTCATGGGCCATCCAGTCCAACCCCCTGCCAAGAAGCAGGAATATTGCATTCAAATCACCCGTCAGATGGCCATCCAGCCTCTGTTTAAAAGCTTCCAAGGAAGGAGCCTCCACCACACTCCGGGGCAGAGAGTTCCACTGCTGAATGGCTCTCACACTCAGGAAGTTCTTCCTCATGTTCAGATGGAATCTCCTTTCTTTATAAACTTAAAATAAAGTGAAGGAAAGGAAGGAAGGAAAGGCCCTTCAAGGCTGGAGGGAAGGAGGACCGAGGAGGGAAAGCACCTCAGAGAGCAGCGGCGGCAAAAACCCACAAAACAGCAAAAATACCGCGATATATATTTTAAATTAATTTTTTTTAAACCGCGAAATGGCGACTCCGCTAAAAACGAACCATGAAGTAGCGAAGGAACACTGTACAATGTATTTAAACAGTGTATTTTAATATTGAGACAAATGTTTTTAATGTTTATGTATGCATATAATGAATTCATGTCCCGGCATTGCATGTTTGCTATATATATGTTGTGCTCTGCTCTGAGTCCCCTTCAGGGTGAGAAGGGCGGAATAGAAATATTTTAAATAATGAAATTATATCTATCTATCTATCTATCTATCTATCTACCTACCTACCTACCTACCTACCTATCTATCTCAAGTTGAGCTCTGGAAGCGATTCTAGAAAGTGTTTCACTATTTACCTTTCTATGTTTAATTGTATTTTAATACTTATATGTTGGAGTTTTTAAACTGCAATTTTTAATTGTTGTGAGCTGCTTTGGGTCTCAATCACAAAGATACAAATGGGATGACACTACTACTACTACTACTACTACTGCCGCCCAGAGTCGCCTTCGGGCTGATATGGGCGGGATAGAAATAGTGTAAATAAATAAATAATAAATAATACTGCTATTTCTACTATTATTATTTTTATTATTTGTTTACGATATTTCTATCCTGCCTTTCTCAGCCCGAAGGTGACTCAATGCTGCTTACACGTTGGCAGCAATTCGATGCCATAACCATCCACAATATACAATTAAAACATTTAAAACGACGTTATGAAATCCACACAAAAAGTATTAAAACATATAATAACCAATGTCTTCCTGTTAATCTCATTTCCAGTAGCATCATCTACTACTACTACTACTACTACAACTACTGTCGTCTCTGGAAACAACTGGGGACCTATTAAGGCCATTTTAAGTATATTTAAAGTATTTTAATCTGTCTTTACCCTACTATTTACTATTTGTTTTTTTCCAGCCACACAAAAAATATTAAAACATATAATAACCAATGTCTTCCTGTTAATCTCATTTCCAGTAGCATTGTCTACGTCTACTACTACTACTACTACTACTACTACTACAACTACTGTCGTCTCTGGAAACAACTGGGGACCTATTAAGGCCATTTTAAGTATATTTAAAGTATTTTAATCTGTCTTTACCCTACTATTTACTATTTGTTTTTTTCCAGCCACACAAAAAATATTAAAACATATAATAACCAATGTCTTCCTGTTAATCTCATTTCCAGTAGCATTGTCTACGTCTACTACTACTACTACTACTACTACTACTACAACTACTGTCGTCTCTGGAAACAACTGGGGACCTATTAAGGCCATTTTAAGTATATTTATAGTATTTTAATCTGTCTTTACCCTACTATTTACTATTTGTTTTTTTCCAGCCACACAAAAAATATTAAAACATATAATAACCAATGTCTTCCTGTTAATCTCATTTCCAGTAGCATTGTCTACTACTACTACTACTACTACTACTACTACTACAACTACTGTCATCTCTGGAAACAACTGGCGACCTGTTAAGGCCATTTTAAGTATACTTATAGTATTTTAATCTGTCTTTACCCTACTGTTTACTATTTGATTTTTTTTCAATCTGTTTCATTGTGCTTCTTTAAACTTGAATAAAGTGGGGATTGTTAGCCGCCTTGAGTCTATACAGGGAGAAAGGTGGGGTATAAATAAAGATAATAATAATAATAATAATAATAATAAGCCAATGTGTACTAATGGTGGTCCAATGAATAAAATGCCTCCAAGGCACCCTCTCCTCAACTGGACGTTAAGTCAAACAAGGAATCATCTGCATATCCATGTCATCACATTCCTCAGTTTTGTGCCCTCCCAAATAATACTTGCTATCAGGAGGGTTCTTTTTTTTAACCCTACATGACAGTATATTGTAGCAGTTCCCAGCCCTCTTCCTTCAATTCTTAAACCTGTGCCCAAGATATTTTGCTGCCTGAGGCCCAGCATCCCCCACCTAGAGAGGTTTTAACCTGAGGAAAGTGCTGCGTCTGCCTCTGAGCCTGCCAATGCTTCCTGTGACTGTGCAGGTTCAATCGTGACCGTCTGTTCTGTCTCCTCCTCATTCATTGAATCCTCCTGGGACTGGACTTCGGCCACATTGGGTGACTCTGTGATCCGGGCTCCTGTGGTGCTGCTCCGCTTCGTGTGACCGGCAAGCCCCTCCGCGGCAACATCGGCGGCAACCGCGGCGGCCGCAGCAAGGCCTATGGGAAGAAGAGACAGAATTACATTGCTGGCATGGCTTCCATTGGAATCTCTTTCCTAAAATACCAACTAAGCATGGACAAAGGGCCATGCCTGGATCGGCGTGAGGTTCCCAATGCTACTTTTATGACCATCCAGGTGTCATTGACAGCCCCTTTTTTGGCTGAAGATAAACTTCTGTAAGCTCTTATAAGTAGCCTGTAAAGCAGGCGTGGGCCAACTTCAGCCCTCCAGTGTTTTGGACTTCAACTCCCACAATTCCTAACAGCCGGTAGGCTGTTAGGAATTGGGGGTTGAAGTCCAAAACACCTGGAGGGCTGAAGTTGGCCCACGCTTGCTCTACTCATTTTAAATGAGTTATGTAGGGATTATTTATGTATTTCCCCCCCAAAGAGAACAGATTTTTTAACCTGTGAGGCCGCGTTTCTTTGCCTTTTTTAGACTTCTGATTACTCTCAGCATCCCAGGATGTGCCCTCTGAGGAAAAAAGAAAATAAACCCATTAATCCAAATGGGGGACGGGAAATCTTGCTGATAAATAAATCAAAATGAGGGAAAAAACTGATTCAAATAACACAGCCCAATGACAAAATCTTGGTGCAGTGGTTTTTAGACCTATTACATTTTGGGGCACTGAATCAGAAAATGGCTTTGGATAGACCTCACCAGCTCTAGTTTCTTAGATATATCCTGTAGCTAGTTCCTAATTTGTTCTTGTTGTGAGAACATTTCTTGGCAACAAGAAGGTAGGCAACAACATACTGTTAGCAGAGGATATGTTTTCATTTCAACAAGCTTAGCTGCTCGGAGGCCCTGCTCGCGTTTGGTGGGGACAAGGGACAGGACCTTTTCTGTGGTGGCCCCTCAACTGTGGAACTCCCTCCCAAGCGAAATTAGATCTGCTTCATAACAAAAGACCCTCCTCATAAATGTACAGCAGAGTAACAGCAGGGTGACCCAGCTGAAACAGACAGAACAATGTTATCTCTTCCATAGGAGGCTTCTCTTTGTAGTAAAATAATAGGGTTGCACTATTTACAAGAACTAGGTTTCCAGAACAAAAATAAACAAATACATAGTAGCTTTACATGCAGCAGCATTCCCACAGGAACTTTCTCACACGAGGCTTCTCTCACACAGAGGTTTATCTCACACTCCTCAGGACGACACTAGCTTCGGCCCACTGACTCTAACAGGTTTTGGCCTACTCACTCTAATAGGCTTCGTAATACTCTCCTCAGGACGACACTAGCTTCAGCCCACTGACTCTAACAAGTTTTGGCCTACTCACTCTCCTCAGGGCGACACTAGCTTTGGCCCACTAACTCTTAACAGGCTTCAGCCTACTCACTCTCCTCAGGGAGACACTAGCTTTGGCCCACTGTCTCTAACAGGCTTTGGCCTACTCACTCTCCTCAGGGTGACACTAGCTTTGGCCCACTGTCTCTAACAGGCTTCGACATACTCACTCTCTTCAAGATGACACTAGCGTTGGCCACTGACCCTTAACAGGCTTTGGCCTACTCACTCTCCTCAGGACGACACTAGCTTCAGCCCACTGACTGTAACAGGCTTCAGCCTACTCACTCTCCTCAGGACGACACTAGCATATTGGCTTGTTCAGTAGACTCTCCTCTACAGTTCCATTTTGGCAGGAAGCCTTAGCATTGAACGGTTGTGTTGTTAAAGTGCTAAAGTATGTTGTTAAAGTGCTAAAGTGTTAAAGTATGGAACCCTGCACAGGCGGTCGGTCAATGCGACGTTATGCAAGTTAGAGATAAATTTCAAGTGTAATCGGCATTTCACAAGAATGTGTGGGTCACATTATTGCTTTGCTTGTCTATCGGAAGATCTGTGCACGATGGGTACCCAGGATGCTGACGCCTGAAATGAAAGCGCACAGACTTCTTCCATGACAGCTTCAGAAAACTTATGTCATTTCCATGACAGAAATGTATCCAGTTGTCTGGTGATTATGTGGAAAAGTGAATAGTGGTAGTTAAATCTGCACTTGATTTATTAAAATCTTCTCATCCAAACCCAAGTAACAAAGGTGGAGGCATTACTTTTCATTCAACCCTCATATATTCAGCCTCCACATTCACTGCTGTTGGGGGTGCAGGACCACCGTGAAAACGGAAAAACTGCAAATATTTAAACAAATTTCCAAGGACTAGTGTGAGACAACCAAGGCTCACCTCCAAATGCTTCCTCAGGTTGGATGAGGAGTTGATGGCTGAGCTCAAGTGCTTGATGGCCGGAAGGCAGCAATTGCATTGCACCACCAGGTTTTTCCCCTTCTGTCGCACGAAGGTGAAGACCTTCTCGAAGCCGGCCCAAGGGACTTGCTGCCGTCCGGCCAGGGCAGCCGACTCCTGCTCCATGTCCTCCTCGTCTGTGGAGTCATCGTGTGCTTGGGCTTCAGGGACTCCTGGGGAAGCAGTGCTGGGGGTGACTGTGGGCGTCCTGGTCTCCAAGTGGCTGGCGCTGGCTTCGGCTGCAGCGGCAGAAGTAGTACTGTCTACAATAGGAGAAAGGAGCACTGCGGTAGTAAAATTACCCTAT